ATGTAATTATGATCTGCAGTCTAGATAATAATATCACACTTTTATCTCTTGGTCACTTTGTAAAACAGTGTGGCAGTTCCTTAGAAAGGTAACAGAATTACCATATTATCTAGCAATTCCAATCTTAGTATGTACCCAAAAGAACTGAAAGCTGTGACTCCAATACTAGTAAACCAATGTTCACGGCAGCATATTCACAACAGCCAAAGGCTAACATTCCAAATGTCTATCAGCAGATGAACGGATAAACAGAAGTGGTCTATCCATACAAGAAAGTATTATTCAGGCTTAAAAAAGGACTGACATTCTGAACATGTGCTACAACATGGCTGAACCCTAAAATCATTATGTTAAGTGAAATAAGCCACACATCAAAGGACAAATAATGTAGGTCTCAGCTTCTATGAGGTAATTAGAAGAGGCAAATTCACAGACAGAAAGCAGAACCAAGGTTACACAGGGGGAATGGAGAGCTATCATTCAGTGGGTCCACAGTCTCTGTTTGTGATGATGAGAAAGTTCTGGAAACGCATAGTGATGATGGTTACACGACATTGTGAATGCACGTAATGCCACAATGATAGACTTTAAAATGGTAAAATAGTAAATGTTATGTATCGTTTACCACATTTTTATTTTTTGTTGTTTTTTAGAGATGATGTCTCTCTGTCACCCAGGCTGGAGTGCAGAGGTGCAATCGTGGCTCACCACAGCCTCTAAAACTCCTGGGCTCAAGCCATCCTCTTGTCTCAGCCTCCTGAGTAGTTAGCACTATAGGCACACACTACTATGCCCAGTTAATTTTTAATTTTTTGGTTTTTTTCAGATAGTGTCTTGCTCTGTTGCTGAGGCTAGAGTGTAGTCACAAGAACATTAATCACTTTAGCCTCAACCTCCTGGGCTCAAGTGCTCTTCCTGCCTCAGACTCTCAAAGTGCTGGGATTACAGGCATGAGCTACCATGCCTGGCCTAAAAATCACATTATCTTTTTTTTTTTTTTGAGACAGAGTCTTGCTCTGTTGCCAGGCTGGAGTGCAGTGGCACGATGTCGGCTCACTGTAACCTCTGCCTCCCAGGTTCAAGCCATTCTCCTGCCTTACCCTCTCAAATAGCTGGGATTACAGCCACCCACCACTATGTCTAGCTAATTTTTTGTGTTCTTAGTAGAGACAGGGTTTCACCATGTTGGCCAGGCTGGTCTCGAATTCCTGACCTCATGACTCGCCTACCTTGGCCTCCCAAAGTGCTGGGATTACAGGCATGAGCCACCACCATCTGGCCAACCCAGGCTAATTTTTAAATAATTTTGTAGAGATGGGAATCTTACTATGCTGTCCAGGCTAGTCATGAATTCCTGGCCTCAAGCAATCCTCCTACCTTAGCCTCCCAAAGTGCTGGGATTACAGGCATGAGCCACCACACTCAGTCCCAAACTTTTTTTTTTTTAATATTGGCTGGGTGCAATCTTTTCTTTAAAAAAAGAAAAGAAAAGATAAGATTGTGGTTATGTAGGATGATGTCCTTCTTGTGAGGAGATACAGACCAAAATATTTAGAGGTGAAATGTCATAATGCCCGCTACTTATTTTCGACGGGTCCAGGAAAAAAAGGGAGAGAAAAGAAACGTGGCAATGACAACTGGTGAATCTAGGTGTAGGTTACATAGCTGTTCACTGTCCTGCTCTTTCAACTTCTCTGCACTGAAATTTTTCAAACTAAAAAGTGCTCAAAAAATATTTTTAAATGAAGAGATGAATGATGGAGGAGACCCTCCCGGACCGAAAAGAGAAGCATTAGCAAAGGTGAAGAGGTGGAAAAAGTGTTTTCAAGAAACAGTCGGTAGTCTAGTAGGATGTTCTGGGAGATAAAGCCAGAAAGGTAGGCTGGCATCAGATTGATAAAGGCCTTTAGCAAAAGAATCAAGTCTGGGCCAGGCACAGTGGCTCATGCCTGTAATCCTAGCATTTTGGGAGCCAAGGCAGGCGGATCACAAGGTCAGGAGTTCAAGACCAGCCTGGCCAACAGTGAAACCCTGTCTCTACTAAAAATACAAAAATTAGCCGGGAACGGTGGCACATGCCTATAATCCCAGCTACCTGGGAGGCTGAGGCAGGAGAATCTCTTGAACCCAGGAGGTGGAGGTTGTAGTGAGCTAAGATCATGCCACTGCACTCCAGCTGGGGTGGCAGAGTGAGACTCTGTCTCAAAAAAAAGAAAAAGAAAAAGAATAGAGAGTCTGTGTTGTACATGGCAGGCAATGGAAAGCATCACCAAAGGCATTTAGTTAGGAATAACACGTGCAAAGTGATTAATACTTCTGTGCAGTGAAGATGCTCTGGACAGACTGAAGGGCATAGCCAGCTGGAAGGCTGTCACAGTAGCTGAGGCATGGGAGCAGGGACTTGGGCTGGGTGAAGGAAGTGGGGGCAAAAGGCAACTGTTTTGTGAAGGACCATGGGAATCTGGTAATTATTTAAATGTGGAAAGTCAGAGTTACCCTGAGGTTTACACCTGGGTATAGGAGACTAGCAGTAATGGAAAAATCAGCAGGAGGGACTGGTTTGAAGCTCAAGACTCAGGGGTGAGCCGTAAGAAAAAAGAATGTGTTTAGTTTCATCCCTGGCTTCCTGTAAAATGGATCCTTCACAGTCCCTTGTACTCAACAAGCATCCAGCCAGAAACAGAATTCTCCTTCCAAGGACAGTTCCTCCATCAGACCAGCCTCACCTGGCTCCACAACCCAGTTCCAGGGTTAGGTCCTTACAGCTAGCCTGGGCTCCTGGCACCTTCAGTTCTTCTCTGACAGTGTCCCTTCAACCTAGTTCCTATCTAGCCTCCATAGAGTTCCAAGTCTTCTTTCCTTAACCTCCTCTCTTATCTGAGTCTTTTTTCCTCTTTAAAAGGAGAAGAATCGGCTGGGCACAGTGGCTCATGCCTGTAATCCCAACACTTTGGGAGGCCAAGGAGGGCAGATCACGAGGTCAAGAGATCAAGACCATCCTGGCCAACATAGTGAAACCCCATCTCTACTAAAATACAAAAAAATTAGCTGGGCGTGGTGGCCCGCTCCTATAGTCCCAGCTACTCGGGAGGCTGAGTCAGGAGAATTGCTTGAACCCAGGAGGCGGAGGTTGTAGTAAGCCAAGATCGTGCCACTGCACTCCAGCCTGGCACCTGGCAACAGAGCAAGACTCGGTGTCAAAAAAAAAAAGAAAACAACTGCATAAAGAGGAGGAGAATCAGAGGTATCTGCCCAGAAGCACAAGTCCTGCAACATGCAGGCCAAGATGGGCACCCGCAGGAAGCTCCAGTGCAGACAGGCAAGGCAAGCATATGTGCCCCTGTGGTCAACAGCTGCTGTTTGCACTACCTAGAGGGAGAAGAAGTGGGAAAGAGGGAAGAGAGGAATGAACAGGGCCAAGGTGGAGGGTGAAGCTGGCGCACGATGGTAGGCGGGCAAGTGGGGACCACCTGCGGATCTTGTTGTATATAGGCCTTGCTCTACACAGCCCCACCCACCACAGTAGGGGTGGGGAGGATCTCTGCTTATCAGCTCAGCATCCCATTGACCCCAAAATTATTCCACTGGTTGCCTCCAAACCACATACTCTAGCCCCATGGCACTCGGTTTCTCTCCCAATTTCTCATTTCTGTGTTGAAAATAAGAGATTTGGTTTGGCAGGAGTGAGGACATTCTGAGAAGGCAGAGTTCAGCCTGTTATAGGAACACTCAGATGGCAGACAAAGCTAAAGAAGGCACCTAGCTGAGCCACCAGAGAGGGTGGAGGACCATGAAAGGATGGGAGTCAGTCCACCAAACGAAGAGAGGAGCTGCATAGCAGTGCGCGCTGCCTGGGTTTGCTGTTATGGGCAAACCAGACCAGCCCCAAGCCTTCTCAGGCCATGTGAAGATCGATTATGTAGGATGCATATAACCAGCTCCCTCTCCCCAGGGGCATCCTCCTTTACCCAAACCTGTCTCCCACCTCACCTCCATGGCTCTGGCTTGAGTTATGCCAGCAGCAGGTGGGGTCCTGCTTTAGCCTTTAGCCTGGGCTTTCAGCTTCCCTGCCACACTCACCTTCTACCTCTACCTCTGTAGCTCACTGAGCTGCTCTGTCAGGGGTGCCAATGAGATGGGGTCACATAGGGTATAGCATTACTACCCAGGCCAATCCCATCAGGCAAATTTTTGCCAACTTCCTTCCCCACCCAGTGGGGGAACACTTTTCCCATTCCTGGTTCTCTAACCCAGAAACAGAATTCCCTAGAGACTCACAGCTACCCAGGACGCCTACCTGGGAGAGAGTGCACCTGGAGGAGTCAAGGCGAAGAGCACGAGCTCTCTGATGGGAGCCACTGCCCTGAGAACAAGTCAGCATCACTGAGGGCATAAGAGTGAGAAACTTGGATCAAATGTGTCCAATGACGGGGAGAAGCTGTGCTGGGTTAGAACACTGAGGAAAATGGGCAGGAAATTCTAGCTGAAATGGGAAAAGGAGAGTCTTGGTCTAGTTTCAGGTTTTCCTAGGACAGTGCTCTCACTAGGAGACAGATGGCATCCTATCAGTGATAATGGAAGCAGTGGAAAGATCACTGGTCTCAGTGGCATCATTCAGTTCTTTGACCTACAACCTAAGAAATCAGATCCCTCATGTGGAAAAGTGAAAGTCATAACACAAGACCTTACAGCTGTTGAGATCCAATGAGATCTCATGTAAGTGCCAGCACTTAGTGAATCGTCCAGGACCATAATGCCCTTGAAGCAGGCAGACAGAAGCCTCTGTGGTGGGCACTGGGCTGCCATAACCTTTTCTCAAGTACCAGGCCTGGAGTTCCTCAGGCTTCACATGGCATTTAGCTATAAGGAAATCCTGATGCACCCTGCAGGCACTTACCTGTGGCCTGTGGAGTAGGAGTGAACTGGGAAAGAAGGATGAAAAGGAAAAACTGTTCTGAGATGGGAGCACAGGCTGCCAGAAGGATGGTGTAAAGGCTCACCTTGAGTTGAGTCTCTAGTAAAAGGAGCATTTGTGGCCCCCAGATGTCCTCCAGCCTCCCAAATCTAGGGACAAAAAAAGACAGTCAGTTGTGCTCTATCTCCTCTCTGGTTGCACCTGCTTAATTTCTCCCCAGCTTCCTTGTTCTGAGGACGACTGCACCTTCTGAGCAACAGAAGATTCCAGCAGGAAATTAAGACCTTAAGACCTTTGATGAATGAAACAGGACTTGTCCTCAGGCCTTTCTCCTTTCAACCTTTTCCACTTTTGCCGTCCCAGGTCCTGAGGTAGTTCTCCCCTCTCCAGGCCATTAGACACCCATCTCTAAGGGGCGTCCTTCAAGGCTACCTCCTAGTGCAGGTTCAGCCCTGGACAGAACTGGAGAAGGGCAGGGCCCTGGAAGTCAGCCTGAAGATGGTGCTACTGAAGCCAGCTTCCTTCTTGTGCAGCAGCTGCAGGCCTTGGCAATCTGTTGGCATGGTGGACAGAGTTTCCCATTCCCAGTTAGGTCACAGATGGGAGAGAAACCTCCCTAGGAAGGAGTGAGCCATAGAAGAAAAAAAGCCAAGAATGAACACAGGAGTCAAGGGACTACCCATCACTGCCATCACTGGTCCTGAGGACTGCTACATGATCCTGTGCTGCAGTTTCTTTCCCTCATGGTTCTTCACCTTAGCTCCAGGGAAAGAGGCTCACAAACCCCCTATCCATTTATGCACCTTGTTCCCTTGGCTCTCAATTAGCTGGTACTATACTAAAGATGCCAACAATATGGCCCTTGCCCCATAATGATCTGCCCATTCGCCTTCTTCCCCTAGAAGAATGGCTCTGAGACAGCATGTATGTCTAATAAAATAACTTCAGGCTGGGCAAGGTGGCTCATGCTTGTAATCCCAGCACTTTGGGAGGCTGAGGCGGACAGATCTCTTGAGGCCAGGAGTTCAAGACCAGTCTGGCCAAAATGGTGAACGCTCATCTCTACCAAAAAATACAAAAATTCACCGGGCGTGATGGCACATGCCTGTAGTCCTGTCTACTCAGGAGGCTGAGGCATAATAACCGCTTAAACCCAGGAGGCAGAGGAGGTTGCAGTGGGCAGAGATCATGCCACTGCACTCCAGCCTGGACCACAGAGACCCTGTCTCAAAACAAGAAAACAAAAAAACTGTCCTGCCTAGGAAAATGGATTTGCCCAGAAATAAAATGACTTCAAATATTAAGAAAAGGTCTTACAGTGGCTAGGGACTGTTGTAAAAATTATCAAAAATGAGAGCTAGGACATGGGATAGCACTCCCTCTATGCAGTCCCTGGACTAAAAACTTACATGTGGCCAGGCTCAAGCCTGTAATCCCAGCACTTTGGGAGGCCAAGACGGGCAGATCACCTGAGGTCAGGAGTTAGAGACCAGTATGACCAACATGGAAAAGCCCCATCTCTACTAAGAATTCAAAATTAATTGGACATGGGGGTGCATGCCTGTTATCCCAGCTACTCAGGAGGCTGAGGCAGGAGAATCGCTTGAACCTGGGAGGCAGAGGTTGCAGTGAGCTGAGATCGTGCCACTGCACTCCAGCCTGGGAACAAGAGCAAAACAATGTCTGAGAGGGCGGGGGGGTCGCGGGGGAGCTGGTAGGGCTGGGCTAGGTGGCTCACGCCTGTAATCCCAGCACTTTGGGAGGCCAAGATCAGGAAGATTGAGACCATCCTGGCTAACACGGTGAAACCCCATCTCTACTAAAAATACAAAAAATTAGCCGGGCGTGGTGGCGCAGGCCTGTAGTCTCAGCTACTCGGAATGCTAGGGCAGGAAACTCGCTTGAACCTTGGAGGCACAGGTTGCGGTGAGCCGAGATCGCGCCATTGTACTGTACTCCAGCCTGGGCGACAGAGGAAGATTCCGTCTCAAAAACAAAACAAACAAAACAAAAACACCTTACATGCATCATCTCATTTAATCCACAAAAATCCGAGGCGGTGTTACCATTATCCCCAGTCTTGCAGATGAAGAGGCTGAGGCTAACTTTGTCCAAAGTCAGAAACCCAAGTTTCTCTGACTCTAGATCCCAAGCTGAGAGTCTTGCTCAGATCATCTCAGGACTCTTCTTTCTTCTTGCACTTGGGGTGCAACATGGAGCAATGAGGCCAGTAGTGTGTGACATACTGCACCCTCAGAAGAGGCTTCTGTTTCAGACCCCTTATTCTACAGAGGAAGGAACTGGTAGGTCGCACAGAGCCTGGGCCTGCTCTGCAACGGAATCGCAACGGGCACTAGAATTCTAGTCCAAGCCCCATTTTACAGAGCCGGGGAGCTGAAGCCCACAGCGCCTGGGGGCCTCCCGGGCTCCGAATCCACCAGCGGCTGAGCCAGATCCAGCCTCGGGCGCACTCACTGCCCTGCCCGATTCTACCTCCGCGTTCACCTGCGGCGCGAACCCTCCCCGCGGGCTGCCAGCGCCCGGGAGTACCTGTCCGCCACGCTCAGGCCCTCGGCTCGAAGTGACCAGACGCTGGTGCAGGCGAGCGGGGCTCCGCGGGCCACAACCGGACCCCGGCCTCGCTGACCCGGGTCGCCTCGCCAGTCCCTCTCCTGAGAACGCCGAGGCCTCAGCAGCGTGTGGACGCCGGGACGCCGCCGAGATTTGGGAAGCGCTGGTCTCGGAGGCAAGGCCGGCTTGGTCTCCTCTCCTCAAGTCCCCTGCGCCGCCCCCCGCCCCCCGGACCTTCTGCAAACCGGGTCCCAGCCCCAGCGCACCTCAAGAAGAAACAACACGTTCGCGCTTCGTGGAGTCAAGCGGTCGGGACTCTAAGTAGGGGCGAGGTTCCCATGGCAACGAGGGGACACTCTTTGCGCCTGCTCAGAGGCGCTAGGCACGCTGGGAAATGTGGTTTCCGGGTTGTCCATGGAGGCTAACGGAACGGACGCAAGGTGGCGCCCAAACGTCGCAGTCGATGTGGGTAAGTCCCGGTCCCCAGCTCCCGGGCGCTGCGGGCGCGGGAGAGACCGCGAAGGTCTGAAAGATAGTTTCTCTGAGGCAACTGAGATACGCAGTGAGGAGACGGAGGCACAGTCTCTTCAGCGCGGTTGATTTTGCCGTTTGAAAAGTTGGCATGACGAGGGACTGTGCTGGCTAGCGCGAAGGCGGCCGCTTCTGAGGCCCCGCCCCAGCCTGGGCAGAGCCGGACGCAGAAGAGGGAGGACGCTCGGACTGTGGGAGCTGGTTCCAGAGGGACGCGCGCCACGGTCGTGCAGCAAGTGTTCCGGGTCCGGGCTGGGCGACCCCTCGCGCTGCTGAGGGGCTCCTGTGCCCAGTGGGAATTGAAAGCGGGCTCCGGGAGCAGCAGCCATCCGGACCCTCGCACTCGCGAGCTCCGAGCACTTCCGGACCCAGGGCCTTCCTTGGGCGGAACTGTGCATTCAGTTGACTGCCCGGGAGCCACCTTCCCCACTCTCGAGTTAGGCTCAAACAATGACAATCTAGAAACCTAGGATCTGGCCGGGCGCAGTGGCTCACGCTTGTAGTCCCTGCACTTTGGGAGGCCGAGGCGGGTGGATCACCTAAGGTCAGGAGTTCGAGACCAGCCTGTCCAACATGATGAAACCCCTTCTCTACTAAAAATAGAGCAAGGTGCGGTGGTGGGCACCTATAATCCCAGCTACTCAGGAGGCTGAGGCAGGAGAATCGCTTAAACCCCGAAGGCAGAGGTTGCAGTGAGCCAAGATTGCACTCCAGCCTAGGCTACAGAGAAAGACTGGGTCTCAAAAATAAAAATAAAAATACACATAACAATATATTTGATTACGTAAGCATGGGATACCTGGAGGGCCTCGAAGGCAGCTGCAGTCATTGCCTGAGTAGACATGAAGGACTGGAAGACAGAGTAGGAGTCAGTTTACTTTTCGTTTTATATGTTTCTTTGTTATTTTTTTGACCCTTTAGCAATTTCTATGAGCTTTGTGTACACAGAGGGTTTTTGTTTTGTTTTGTTTTGTTTTGAGACAGAGTCACCCTCTGTCACCAAGGCTGGAATGCAGTGGTGCCATCTCCATCTTGCAACCTCCGCCTCCCCGGTTCAAGCAATTCTCTTGCCTCAGCTTCTCAAATAGCTGGGATTACAGGCACGCACCACTATGCCCGGCTAATTTTTGTAATTTTTTTTTTTTTAGTAGAGATGGGGTTTCATCATGTTGGCCAGACTGGTCTCGAACTCCTGATCTCAGGTGATTCAACCATCTTAGCCTCCCAAAGTGCTGAGAGTACAGGCATGAACCACCACGCCCAGCCCATAGGGTTCTTATTTTGTTTTGTAGAGATGGGGTTTCACCGTGTTGCCCAGGCAGGTCTCCAACTCCTGGGCTCAAGCATTCCACCTGCCTCAGCCTCCCTAAGTGCTGAGATTACAGGGGTGAGCCACCATGCCTGGCACCCTCTTGTCTGCATTTTTGATGCAGTTTCCCCTCCAGTCTTCCTTTTCCTGATTGCTGACTTCTTACTCCTTGGAATCCTCATGGATTCTAGTGAGTCCCATGGATCTGAGTTCCTGATGGGATCTGCCTTCTGAGATGCGCAGGCTGCAGGAGGGCAGGGCCTGGCCTTGGCTTCCCCCGACACTCTCGCCACCACCCACCCACCTGCAGCCCTAGGAATATGGAAAGGGCAGCCTGGGTAGGACTCCTGGTTGGCCAAAGAATAGGAGGCAGCCCCCAATGTTTGCTCAGCAGGATAGATCAGGAGTCAGAACTAGCTTCCCTGTACCCCACATCTTGTGACCCTTAGGCATACCACCCAGATAGGTGCCACCCATTCCTCTTCTGGAAGGGAGGTACAGGCTAAGTTCTCACAATGTCTAGATAGCATGTTTTTGTTTGCTTGTTTGTTTTTAGACAGAGTCTTGCTCTGTTGCCCAGGCTAGAATGTAGTGGTGCGATCTTGGCTCACCACAACCTCCACCGTCTGAGTTCAAGCAACTGTCCTGCCTTAGCCTCCTGGGTAGTTTGGATTACAGGCTCCCACCACCGTGCCTGGCTAATTTTTGTTTTGTTTTGTAGAGATGGGGTTTCTCCATGTTGGTCAGGTTGGTTTCAAACTCCCAACCTCAGGTAATTTGCCCACCTCTGCCTCCCAAAATGCTGGGATTATAGGCATGAGCCATTGCACCCGGCCTCATGTATTGTTTAAAAGTATCAAAGTGTAGCCATGCGTGGTGGCCCTGTAGTCCCAGCTACTCGGGAGCCTGAGGTAGGATCTCTTGAGCCTGGGAGGCAGAGGGTACAGTGAGCCGAGATCACCCCACTGCACTCTAACCTGAGTGACAGAGTGAGACCCAGTCTCAAATAAAAATAAAATAAAATGCATCAAAGTGAAGAGGGGTACTTAGGGATTTCAGGTGTAATCCCTTTGCTTTACAGAAAGAAACAGAGACTGTAGCTGGGGCTAGAATCCAAGTCCCCGCCCCCGGGCACTTCAGGGTTAGAGCAGTGTTGGGAGTCCCACGAGGGCCTGGGTGAGAGGTTCACTCTTAAAACTGGGCATGAAGTCTCAATCACTGAGAATGCTTGGTGCCAGCTCCCATCTCTGAGGACACGAGGGCCTGGGTGAGAGGTTCACTCTTAAAACTGGGCATGAAGTCTCAATCACTGAGAATGCTTGGTGCCAGCTCCCATCTCTGAGGACACGAGGGCCTGGGTGAGAGGTTCACTCTTAAAACTGGGCATGAAGTCTCAATCACTGAGAATGCTTGGTGCCAGCTCCCATCTCTGAGGACAGCTTTGAGGGAAGGAGCAGAATCCAGCCCCTTCCCCAAATCAGGGTAGTGTATCACAGGGCAGAGAGCATAATCTTAGGAAGAGGGATAGAAATAGGAAAGATGGGCCAGGCACGGTGGCTCACACCTGTAATTCCAACACTTTGAGAGGCTGAGATGTGTGGATTGCTTGAGCCCAGGAGTTCGAGACCAGCCTAGGAAACATGGTAAAACCCCGCCTCTACAAAATATATATATATATAAATTAGCTGGGCATGGTGGTGTGTGCAGGTAGTCCCAGCTACTCAGGGGGCTGAGGCAGGAGGATCACTTGAGCCCCGGAGGTTAAGGCTATAGAAAAACAAGATCTGGCCGGGCGCGGTGGGAGGCCGAGGCGGGTGGATCACAAGGTCAAGAGATCAAGACCATCCTGGTCAACATGGTGAAACCCCATCTCTACTAAAAATACAAAAATTAGCTGGGCATGGTGGCACACACCTGTAATCCCAGCTACTCGGGAGGCTGAAGCAGGAGAATTGCTTGAACCCAGGAGGCAGAGGTTGCGGTGAGCTGAGATCGCGCCATTGCATTCCAGCCTGGGTAACAACAGCGAAACTCCGTCTCAAAAACAACAACAAAGATCATACCATTGCATTCCATTCTGGGCATTCTGGGTGACAGAGCAAGACCTGTCTCAAAAAAACAAGAAAGAAATGACAAAGATATCCCCACTTAGCTAGGTGTGGTAGCACGTGCCTGTGGTCCCAGCTACTCGGGAGGCTGAAGTGAGATCGCTGGAGCCTGGGAATTTAAGGCTGTACTGAGCCATCATTGCGCCGCTACACTCCAGCCTGGGCAAAAGAACAAGACTGTCTCAAAAAAAAGAAAAAAAAGATGGAATGATTGACTTTTCTTGGACACTAAAGTTGAGCAGAAGGAACCTGTAGGCAGGAGAAGAAGGTCACCAAGGGTCCCTCTTCCCAGGTAGCAATAGGCTGGCTTGTAAATCCGGTCCTTTTGCATTGTAGCAGGAGGAAGATGAGTGTTGGGGCCCAAAATATGCTATAGAGCTGGCATCACTGTCCAGAAGGCATCTTCACTTTTGGAACAGGCTTGGTCTTGTCCAGGTAGGCACCTCCTCATGAGTAACTCCCTCCAGCTCTCGCAGCAGAGCACATGCCTGCTGTCCGGTGAGGACTTGTTCCCTTGCCCGACCTGCCTGAGCGGGTGTAGGCAGCTAACATTCACCAGCCCTGCCCCAGGAGATGAGGAGACAGCACTGACCTCCTCTCTTCTGTTACCCAATCTTCCGCCCACACCACGCCCAAACACGCCGCTCCCCCCAAATAGGTCTGTATCGAGACACCTGGGAATTGTGAGGCAATTGCTGGGAGATTTCCTTGCTGCGCAGCTGCCCTCCCTGGCCAGCTAAGAAGGGTCTGACTGGTAGAGACGGCTTCATCATCATCATCAGATTGAAAATAATCGAATATGGAAATGTGTTTTATTTCTCAGTACAAAGCCAGATACTCTAAGACTATGAAAACCTGACTAGCCAAATACCATAAAGGACAAAAAGAAGACTCTCTCTGGCCTGGTGCCCTGTGATCCAGCGCAGTGATGCAGGAGGTCTGGGGACAGCAGCCAAGACCTGGACAGGTTGAGGTGGATGAGGGCAGCGACCTGCCACCCCTCAAACCTCCTGCAGCTGGGGCTGAGGGTCCTGCCTGCCTTTGGGGGCCAGGGGTTGCCTGGCCTGGCTGGTTCCAGGAATGATCTGGGGGGGGATGGGAGGCACAGGGATGGGGCAGGAGTGGGGGACAGGAGCCTTCTGCACTGGAAGCTCCGTTTTTATTCCGTGACTGCAGGTGAATGTTCAGAGCAAGAACTGAGAATGAAACTAGGACGCTGTTGCCGCCAGTGGCACCTTCAGTCCCTCTACCGCATCCCAGTTAGAAAGTCTTGAGCCCCGACAGATGGACCTGGGTCTGGGACTTAGGGCTGTGGGAGGTGTGGCTGTAGTGACGGGAGGAGCTGAGAAGAATGGGCGCTGCTGGGGACAGGAGGGGCGTTTCCCTGAGGAGCTGTGGACCCTCGATTTAGTGTCTAGGAGAACATGGGTGTGTGTGAGGGCTCAGGCCTCGCCCTCCTCTCCACTGTCATCCACGCTGGCCTGCCTCACCACCTTCCGGAACCTGGGCGTAGAGGAAATGCTGGGCTCTCCCTGCCTCTGCTCCTGGAAGGCCTGCGTCCGGCTGGCCACCAGGGCGGCGCTCTGGAGAGCAACCACTGACTGGCGGGACTTCAGGGCCGGCTGCGGCCCCCGGCCCACCTGCTGGCCTCCCTTGGTCCTTGCGAGCTGCAGGAAGGGCTGCGGAGGCTCTTCATGTGAAGACTCAGGGGAAGAGAAAACCTGGACAGATGCGAGAATACAGATGCCATGGGAGGCCTTCGCGAGGCAGGGGCACCAAGCAGAGCTGGGAAGAGGAGAGGGGCGGAATGTTTGCGGCACACAGACCAAGAGCCAAGCTGTTCACAGCCATGCTTCCCCAGTGGGGAGAACAACACCCCTGCCCTGCTGCCCTGCTCCTTGAATCCTACCTGCCTATGGCTTCCTTCTGGCCCCCAGCAGCCCTCCTCAGCTCCCCTGAGACCCAGGCCTCCCTGCCCTCCGCTCCTCCTATCCTTCCTCTGCCTTTGCGCAGGCAGCCAGCAGGTGAAACCACGCCTGCACCAGCCCCTGACCTGGGCTGGGTGGATGCGGGTGTCAGTGCTGGGTGAGGACCTCCCGCCTTAAGCAACACACCCACCAACCCACCATGCCTCCCTATTCTTCCCCACCCACACCTCCTCCAGGAAGCCTCTCCCAAATGTTCCTGCCCTCAGTGGACGCTCCTTCTTCCAAGTCAGCCATTTGGCCTCGAGTCCCACACAGGGCCTGGCTCCCAGTCTTTTGCTTGTGCCCACAGCACTGAGCATGGAGGGTGCTCACTTAGGCAGGACTTGGGTGGCGTGAGCGCACAAACTCCTCTGCACCTCACCTGCTTGAACGCTTGGAGATGCTGCTCCTCAGACCCAGGAGAGGCTCCAGAGATTCATTTACCCTCCCCTCACCAGGGGGTTAGAGACACCCCCAGGGCCAGCAGGTGGCTGTGGAGCTTGTGGCCTGGGGAGGCAGCCCTGCCCCTTAGACAGCTAGTCCTGTGGTCAGTCTGGAACACGCCTGCAACCCTGGCCGGGGCTGGCTCGCCCAGGAACCCTGGGAACAGGCGCTACCTCCTGCCCTGCCCTGTGGCCCCTCTCCAGCTTGTGCCTGCAGTGCCCCCACCTGCCCTCACCGGGTCTCAGCTGCTCTCAGGAGCCCAGGACAGGGCTGGTCCCTGTCTTCAGGGATACTCATGGGATGGGCTGGAGATGCCTGGTGCTGAGAGGTATTAGGCTGACTGTGAAGGGGGCTGGGAGCAGGCCCCCAGGGTCCTCCCAGGACACCCTGCATGGGTGGGCCAGCCCGAGCCCAGGTATGCTCTGCTCAGGCCTATGGTCACCATCCTGGTCTTTCCCCACCTCCCTCCTTCTGGTCCCCATCCCTGCAGGCTGAGCTCCCCGAGTCCCAGCCTCACCTCTGGCATGTCACTGGCATCTGAGGTGCTCTCCAGCTCCAAGGAGGGTTCCAGGAGACTGATGGACCTCATGACCCCTCGGAGGTCGATACGTGGCCGTGGCCCAGGCTCTTCCTTTGGGGCTGCCTGGCTCTCCTCCATGCCCACAACCTTCTCCTCCCCACCACCCCCAGGTTCTGGCGGAAGAGGCGGGAATGGTGTAGAGACTTCAGGGGCTGGGTGCTCCTCTGGGGAGACCCCACCCGCTTTCTGCTCCCAGACATGGCTCTGGCGACTGTGAGGAGGTGGCCCTGAGTCAGCTCTGAGTGACCCAGCAGCCACACCCCACAAACCAACCTACTCACCCCATCCCATACCTGGCAGTCAGGATGCCCTGGTAGACCTGCAGCTGGCGCAGGAAGCCGGGGTTGGGGCGGGCGATGGGCCGGAGCCCCTGCACATGGTGCAGGGCCTGCTCCAGGCTGCAACCATACTGCTTCATGGCATAGGCCAGCACCGTGGCCGCCGAGCGGCTGACGCCCATCTTGCAGTGGACCAGCACACGGGTGCCCTGCGCTCTGTGGAGGCAGGACAGGGTCAGCACCCTCCCCTCACCATGAAGGACTCGCCTGCTGTGGGGGATGGCAGGTAGAGGGCTCACAAGCAGCTGAGAGTAGAGAAGGAGGCAAGGACACTGGGGGCTGGAAGGAATGGCAGAGTCGATGGCAGAGTGGGCAAGAGGAGGGCACTGGGGGCCAAGGGAAACCACAGCGGGGCAGGCAGGGGAGACGGGGGGCTGACCTTGCGGCCTCAATGAAGCGGTATGTCTCCTTCCAGTGCGGCAGCAGCTGGGCCGACTCCTCATCCCAGAGGCGCACGTTGTGGTAGGTGAAGCGCTCAGGGTAGAAGTTGTCGATCTCTCGGGCCATGTTCAAGATATGGGTGACCCTGTCCCAGAGGGCCCAAGGCCAGGCTGACGTGGGCAAAGGTACCAGGGCCACCGGCCATCGGGCCTGGCAGAACCTGGGCCTCTGTTTAGCTGAGTTTCAAGTCAGGTGGAGGCAGCAGTGACAGTGGGAGGAGAAGTGACTCAGCTGTCAGGTGGCTGAGACCTTGAACCAGTCATTTGACCCTGCTAGGCCTGTTTCCCCATCTAGTCCAGTCAGCCGGGTCAACTCCAGCCCTTCCGTTCCTCTCAGAAGTAAGTTAGAGGACAGCTTTGGAGCTAAGCTGAGCATGGGTGGGTCTGCAGCAGTGGGGTGACAGATACAGCAGGTCTCCCAGAAGCCCGTGGTGGACAGATGACAAGTACCTGTCAGAGCAGGCAGCCAGGTCCCCACAGGGAGAAGGCCAGTTCCTTCTTCCCTGGGAAAGGGCCAGGTGGAGAAGAGGCTTTTTCTCTTTTTTTTCTTATTTTTTTAGAGACAGGGTCTCTCTGTTGCCCAGGCTGGAGTGCAGTGGTGTGATCTTGGCTCACTGCAACCTCTCTGCCTCCCATGTTCAAGCAATTCTCTGCCTCAGCCTCCCGAGTAGCCGGGATTGCAGGTGTGCTCCACCACGCCCAGCCAAGAGGAGCCTTTTTCGGCTTGTCCAAGGCAGTTACAGCAGTGGGCTCTGCTGCTTCCCGTCTGGGCGTGGCTGAGGCCCTTTGTTTCTGTCCTTGTTTCACAGTGGGGGAGGGGAGGAGAGTGGGTGGGGCTGGCCAGTGGGTCTCTTGTCCCGACCTGGGCACCCACACCAGGGTAACAGCCCCAGGACAGAGTTGGAAGCAGAGCTAGCAGCTGCTGAGGGGAGTTTTTGAAGCTGGCTACCACCCAATGCAGGGAGGCCAGGAGAAGGGACGGTGGGGTGGGTGGCCCGAGGGGCTCACAGCCTCACCTGTTCCTCTGCAGCTCCTCCAGGTTTGCCGCATTCCACTCCGAGCCCTAGGAGAGAGGGAGCAGCACATTCTCCCTTTTCTCCAGCCTCTGCTCCTGGCACCCCGCTGCCCTCGCAACTGCCAGCAGTCCCCATGGCCCAGGCCCAGCGGCAGCTCACCAGGTAGAGGTGGGGGAAGATGCGGGAGGCCCGGTCCCGCTGTGCCACCAGCAGCAGCATCTGGTTGTCTATGAAGTCACGGTGCTGCTGGAGTGGGTGCCCCAGGCGCAGCTCCAGGGCCTGGCGGATCTGCAGGCAGAGCCCAGGGCAGGAGAGGCTTGGGCTCTCCAAGTGCCTGACCCCCCACCTTCCCTCTGGGGCCTCTGAGGACAGCACCCTGTCCCATCTAGACAGACTAGGGCCAAGGCCAAGGCACCCAGGAATCGGTCAGGACTTGGCAAAGTGGGGAGGGCTCCCAGGAGAGACAAGCTTGCGGCCCCTGCTGGAGGGGACTTGCCCCAGGCCCCCTGCTCACCTCTTTGGAAGTGACGCTCTCCAGGTTGCTGGCATCCAATACTTGCCGCAGCTCAGCACGGATCGCCTGCTCCATCTGCTCCTGTTCTGAGGGCCTGGGAGCAGAGCCCCTCAGTCAGGGGCCCCTTCCCCTCTCTGCCATGCCCCCCTGCTCCCCCTTGTCCTGCTTTCCCCTCCACCCAGGCCCTCCCCTCCCTGCACTGACCGGCCAGGCTCGGTGCTGGGAGGCCGCAGAGACTCTAGGTCAGCCATAGCCGTCCACTCATTGAGGCAGCTCTGGTTGGAGTTCAGTCTCTCCTGGTAGTGGCTGGCCCAGGTGAGGGCACTCCCACCGGGCACAAGGCCGCTGCCTAGAGCTGCCTCACATGCCTGGTGCAATACCTGGAGCGTGGCCCTGGGATAGGAGGAGAAGCTGGGTCACTCTGTCCCCTGCTGCCTTCCCCAGGCCCTGCAGCCTTCTTAGAAAGAGAGGCTGGACCAAGTCCAGGCAGCGTCTGTCCTTACCACATGGTCTGGATGGAGATGGGCTTGAAGATCCGGCTCTGCCCACCAGACGTTACGATGAAGCCCCTGCAGGAGAGCAGGTGCCGGTGAAGCCAGACTCCAGCCTCTGTGACAGAGAACCTGCCCTTTGGCCAGACACAGGGAGCTGAGGCCCGGGAGTCAGGTGCCTTGCTCAGGATCACAGTGAATCTGAGGTGGAGCTGGGAGCAGGTACCAGAGTCCCAGCCTAAAGTTCTACTATACCCCGGTGCCCAGGCCCCATCATACCTGTCACACATGGTAATTCCACCCTCCTGCCCCCCGCTCTGGTTGCCATTGCTTACCCATCTCCATCTAAGTACACCTGGGTGTCACTCCAGAGGGGCAAGACCAGGCCCAGGGTGCAGCTGGGGGAGCTGGCAGAGGACAGAGGGAGAGCCATTGTACCCCGTCCCTCACCTCTGCCTCTCCCTTCCTCTCCCTGCTCGCACCTGCTGTCAGGGAAATCCACACCCAGGAGGACCGTCTCATCCTGGCTCAGGCCTTCTCCTTCTCGTGTAGAAACTACCAGCAGGTAGCGGAGCCGGGGAGGCCGAGCTGCCTCCAGCTGGGCTGCCTGGGGAGGATGAGGAGCCCAGGGTCACAGTGGCCCCAAGGACCCTGCTCCCCACTTGGATACCCCCAAGTCCAGAACAGCGCTGACCCTGCTCCCTCCTTTCCCATCTCCCCTCTTTCCAGATATAAAATCAGTGGCCAAAGAGGGACTGTGTGGAAAAAAGCAGGGAACGGGAGTGACGCAGTTTGCCCATTTTTTATTTCTGCCAAGGATGGAGGTTGTTTTTGTTTTTGTTTTGAGACAGGGTCTCTGTTGCCCAGGCTGGAGTGCAGTGGTACTGTCACAGCTCACTGCAGCCCCAAACTCCCAGGCTCACGTGATCCTCCCACCTCAGCCTCCCAAAGCTCTGGGGTCACAGCAGTGAGCCACTGTGCCCAGTAAGGAGGAGGTTTGGTTTTTTTAAACCCTGTTCGCTTGCCAGTGCTATCGTTTCATTCGAGAAATGTTTATCACCAAAGAAATATTGAGGATGTACTCTCCCAAAAGGAGATGAAGCTTCTGTTGTCAATTCAGCTTTACAAAAGATTCACTGCATCTTGTTTGCCACGTCTGCTGCGGACAGTGAGCTGTCCCCACAAGCATTTGGGCCCCGGTTCTGGCTCTACCTGGATTCCCTTCCTCCATGGGGCTGGAATCTTCTTCCCATCTGCCCAGCCCCTCCAGCACACCGCCCCCCAGTGGGTGTCCAGCAAGCCTGCCTTGGGCACTGGTCCCTTTCGGGACAGCTCATGCCATCAGGAACGTCCTCTACTGGTTGAGAAGAAACCTGCCTCTGTGGAATCCCCACCTCTTGGACCTAATTTGTCCCTGTTGGCTCACACAGGACAAACCTCCCTGTTCCTTCCCTTCCAGAGACCTGCAGCCACGGCCTCACCCGGTCAAAACATCTGTTCCTTTTCCAAAGCAGCAGGATCACTGGAGTATGGGTAACCCCAGCACTCCCCAGGCTGCCCTCTGCCTTCACACCATTGTTCCACAAGCACACACACACACAGGGCTCCATCCTGCCCTCTCCCCCCTGCCCTCAGGCATGTCTCTTCCAGATAGGCCCTCACCAGTCGGATGTCGTCCTGCGCCCTCAGCAGCTGCACCATGAGGTGAAGGTGCTGCCTCTGCTCCTCCTGCTTCTGGGGACTCTGGGGTCCTTGCCCGAGGTCTGTCTGGTCCCCACGGGGCTGCTCCTCACTTGGGGGCTCCTCTGATGGCTCAGGACTGGCCTCTGCTGCATCATCATTGTCCCCTCCATCCTGCAGTCCCAGGACAGCCCCTCGGAGCACCGCAAAGCTCTGCCTGGTGGGGCAGTGGGAAACTGTCATGGCCCCTCATCCCCCTTAGGGTAGGGGATCTCAAAGTCCAGCATGCATCACATTCATCTGCAGGCCTTGTCCACACGGATTCATGGGCCCCCACGCGGTCAATAGGTCTGGAGTAGAGGCCTGAGCATCTGCACTTTTTATTTTTTTGAGACGGAGTTTCGCTCTTGTTACCCAGGCTGGAGTGCAATGGCGCGATCTCGGCTCACCGCAACCTCCGCCTCCTGGGTTCAGGCAATTCTCCTGCCTCAGCCTCCTGAGTAGCTGGGACTACAGGCACGCGCCACCACGCCCAGCTAATTTTTTTGTGTTTTTAGTAGAGACAGGGTTTCACCATGTTGACCAGGATGGTCTCGATCTCTTGACCTCGTGATCCACCCGCCTCGGCCTCCCAAAGTGCTGGGATTACAGGCATGAGCCACCGCGCCCGGCCCACATCTGCACTTTTAACTGGCTCCTTGGCAATGCTGCCACCACGCTGAGAACCAGTCTTGTAGGTTTCCAAGCTCTCAGCCCCTCTCCTCTTGTCTGTTGGGTGAGGGGCCTGCTCTCTTTCCCTCCCACCTGCCTAACTCAGGGGCTGCTGGGAACGTGGTTGGAGACCCAGGAGTCCTCAGGCCCGTCACGCCTCTTGCCCTTTGGCCCATGGCCACTGCCTGAGCCAAAGCCCAGGGCAGTGGGTGAGGAAGCCCCAGTTGACCAGGGGGCGGGTGAAGGCCAAGGCCGCCTGGCTGCCTAGCCCACCAGCTGGTGCCACCAGGAACACTGCCCCACAAATTTGGCAGTGGGCTTCGGCTGCGCGTCCTCCGGGGCGCCTTCAGTCCCTGCACTCGGAGTCCAGGATGGCCGTGGCCAGGTCCCAGGCGGATGGAAGTGTCTGCGTGCGGGTGGCAGCGCTCACCTTCGCTGGAGTCGACTCCTCCGCTGGACCCCCCGGTCCTGCCGAGAGAGCAGCCCAGGGGAGGGTGAGCGCGGGGAGCGCTGTCCTCTCCCCTCTCTCAGGAATTCTGGGGTGGAGGAAGGCCAGAAAAGGCACCAGATGCCATTTGTCTTCCCACCCCAGTCCACGCCCCACCGAGAGGCCCCACGCAGCCCTGGCCTAAGGCCAGGTCAGCTGGGTGGGCGCTGAGGGTGGCGGGCGTGCCCAGATCTGGGCCTCCTCAGCCCGGGCGGCGCGCAGGGCTCTGGATCTTGCCCTGGCGCCGGTACCAGAGACCCTCGAGGCCCCCAGCACCCTCCAGCCCGAGTCCCGGGTCCCCCTCCGCATATCCCCGCTCGAGGCGAGCCCGCGGGCGGGCAGGACGGGTTCTCCGGCCCGGGCAGCAACTGCGTGGGCGGCACCACGGCTGGGCCACACTCACCCGGGGTCCCACGGGCGTGGAGGCGCCACTGCCCGGGGGCGAGCGGCTCACTGTGACCAGGGCCATAGGGCCAGGCCGGGGGCACCTGGGCTGGCACCGGGCACGGCCCCGTCCCTCAGCCCCGCGGACAGTCCCGGCCCCGCAGGACCAGGAAGGAGAGACGGCGCTACCCGGGCCTGGCACCTCCTCGGGGGCGGCCCTTAAAGGGCCAGACACTCGCCCAGCCGAGCCGGCGGAGCTTCTCAGGGCCGCCGGACCCCGCCCCTCCGGTCTCCGGTTTGGCCTGCCCCGGGCACAGGTCGAAGGCAAGCGCAGGTGCAGAGCCAGGAGACAGGGAGGGCAGGAGCGGGAGGCCGGGAGTTTGATCCCCTTCCCAGGAAGCGCCCGGCCCGGGCCGCCCTGCAGGAGCACCTGAGCTGTTCTGGGCCTCCAGCGTCCAGTGCGGGGCAGAGGAGGGTCCTAGGGAGGCAGAGGCAGGGCCACAGGTCTAGAGAGGATCAGGCACAGCGCGCCCTCGGCCAAAAGCCGCCACCACAAATACTTCTCCCTGCTGGTCGGCCCTCTGGCACCCACCGGGAGACAGGCTTCCGGGGAAATCAGCCTGGGGTTTAGAAATAACCCAGGAAACGCCCACCTCGGAGGCGACCAAGGCGGGGCTCCCAGCTGCGCAGAGGGAAGTGACTTGCACAAAGCCACCTGCAGGGAATTCGCCCCAGTCAGGGCCAGGCCTGGCTCTTCCCAACTGGAGGTGAATGGGGTCTGGGGACCCAGGCTTTCCCTCTCCAACGGGCGCGTGGGCGGGTTTCCAGTAAGGCCAGGCTGGGAGGCAGGACAAACCGGATCCCCAGCAGGTGGGACCGCGAGGGGGAACTGACATTCACAGGACGCCTGCTTGGTAAGGACACGACTCTCACCAGCTCCTTTCAGCCCTGAGGGGCAGAGGGTGGGGGGTGGTCGCCTCACTTTACAACTGAAGAAACTGAGGCTCAGACAGGCTAAGGGGACCGTGGGCAGGATTCAAGCCCAGGTCCGGGCGGCCTCCCAGTGTCTCCTTGGCGCCCCACCTTCAGGGTCCCCACGGCTCCAGCCCAGTCAGCAGAGCAGCCCTGCTGCAGCAGTCTCTTTATTTCCATCTCTGTCTCCCCTGCCCACCCATCCCTGGGGCTCCAGGCCCCAAGCTCAGCAGCAGAGTTTATAAATAAATAAATTAGAAAAGCGGGCAGGGAGTGGCTGGGCGCCCTCTCAGGGGCTGTGGCTCAGTGCTCGGTAAGTGACAGCTGCAGGGTCCGCTGTAAGTCCTCCTCCTCCTGCTGCCCGCGCCGCTCCCGCTCCTCCTGCTCCCTCGAAGACAACTCCAGGGCCAGGCGCAACTGCTCCTCAAAGCTGGGTGGGCCGGGGGCTGGGGGTGTCCTGGGAGGGGATCCTGGGCCCCTGGGCTCTGTGGACAGCCGCAGGCTTTCCTGGAGGGCCCTTCCAGTCAGGGCATGGAAGGGAAGAGCAGGCTGGTGAGCACCAAGGCTGGGGCAGAAGCCAAGGGGCTGGGGACTGGTTTTAGAGGACAAGGGTAAAGACAGGGTGGCAGGGAGAGGAGACAAGGCAGGGCCCTGCTTCCCCACCCGTCATGCCACCTTTGGCGGCAGACAGTGCTGCTGGAGGGTGGCCTTGCAGAGGGCCTAGGGTCCTAGGACCTTCCTGCTACCCCCCTCCCCACAAGCCAGGGCTGGGGGGCAGGGACCCAGCCAGCACCATGAGGGCCTCACCGCTCCAGCTGAAGCTGTTCTTCATAAACTGCGGCCTGGGGAGGAGGGCGGACACCAGGCCGGGTGTTGGTCAGGGCTTCCCAGACAGTCACCTGCAGCCATCGGAGCCCACAGCTGTCACCTTTGCCCTGTGGCTGCAGAGGCCAGAGCCACACCCTGCCCGAGTCCCACCTGCTCTGCCTCGGTGCCTGCTTCAAGCAGGCTCTGCTGGATGGCGAACTGCAGCAGGTCATCGTCCTCATCTCGGAGGGGCTCGCTGCGCTCCGTGCCCAGCACGCTGTACCCCTGGGGCACCTCAAACACGGTGGGGTCCACCTCGCACGGGAAAGGGCTCCCTAGGCAGGTAGCAGAGGGGCCACGCTCAACCCACAGGGCTTGGTGACCAGAAAGCTGCGCAGCCTCCCTCTTCCTCCCACAGGGATACCTGACACTGCGACGGCAGAGCTGGGGGCCGGCACCCACACGGAGCTCAGGGGCTCATCACAGCCACACAGGTTGCTGAAGGTGATTCGGGCATTGAGCACGTGGAAAAGGGGAATCTCTGTGAGGAGACAGCCACGCCTGAGCCTCGGCAGACAGCCACCTGCGCCTCCGTCCCCTGCAGCTCTCCATGGGGAGGGCGCCATGTCTGAGGTGTCCCCCTCCTGGGCCAGCCTCTCACCAATCTTGACGGGGAAGCCAGGTGGGAGGCGCAGGGTGATGAAGTCACGCAGCTTGGCAAAGTGAGCGTTGCTGATGGCCATTAGGTCGATGATGGGTGTCACCTGGTCACCCAGGGAGAGTGGGTGCTCCTCACTCAGCCAGAGCGTTGCCTTGAACCTGTCCAGCCAGCCACAGGACATGGTGAGGCACCGCTGGTGGCCCTTCCACTCTGACCAGTGGGCAGCTTCCTTTACCCGCCTTCTGCCTGGCCTAAGGTGCCCTGCTCTGCTCAGATGCCACTGCCAGCCTCCCCTGGGAGCTGGTGTCCTGTCTACGTGGCCCAGGTTGGGGTTCCTGAGGGTTTCACGCCTGCTCATCTGGTCTGGACAAGGAGGCCAGGTGCCAGGCTGTGGGCTTCTCCCTGGGCCTGGCCCACAGCCCTGTTCTCTGCCTCAGCCCAGAGCTGGCCACCAGCTCACATGGTGCCGAACTTTTGTGTCCAGGGTTCAAATCCCAGAGACCGTGGGTGGCTAAGAGACTCCTGAGGTGGCTGGGAGAGCACCGGGCTTGTGCAGGTGCTGTGCCCGCTGTTACCAGCTACACCTGCTCAGCGCTCCTCATGAGGCAGGCGTGACTGTTCTGTCCAGCCAGGCGGATGCTCCACTCCCAGGCCACACTGCTGGGGGCCCTTCCTACTGTCATGCTGGCCCTAGCAGATACTCATGAAATTAAATAGCGAACCATCCATTCATCAAGGACAAGCCACCTGTTCTCTGTGCCAAGCCCCCTGCTAAGGGCTGAGGACCATGGATAAGGCAGACAGGACTCCTGCCCTCCAGGAGTGGAGTCCAGAGAGAAGCTGGCTGAGTGAGTGTGCCCCTCACTATGACAGGTCCAGACAGGGGCCTGCAAGAGCTCAGGGGTCCCAGGAGGGCCCCCATCCCGAGGCAAGTCCCCAGCCAGCTCTTAGACCTCACCTCTGTACTCTGCTGGACATCTCTATGGGGCGGCCAATGTTCCGTGACTCCAGGCTGAGGCTGGGGTCGAAGTACTCCTCAGGGGAGATAGCCGTGGGGTTGGTGGGGCTGGCCGCCTGCTGCACGGGGGCCTGTGGGGGTCCCAGGGCAGACTCAGCAATCAGGGCGACAGAGGGCACCCTCCTGCCCAGGCTCAGCCCAGCCCTGGCTCACCCCAGTGTGGGAGGAGTGCTGCTGGGCCATCCCCAGGAAGGACTGGAACGGAGTCTTCCCCCCTATGGAGAAGAGGTGGGAGCCCATGAGGGGGCCAGCACCCTCGCACTGCCCCTACCTACCTCCGCCCTGGGAGCCTCCTGTCCGGGGGAAGAGGGGCAGATGGGAATGAGGAGACCTCCCAGCTCATCCCAGGAAACTCTGGCCCCTAGTCCCTGGCCAGGGAGACCCCACTGCACGGTGTGACTGGGCAGCAGGCAGGCGCACCTGGGTTTACCTTTGCTCCTCGACTTGTCCTGGTCAGAGAGGTGCTCCGTGCGTGTGCGTGTCACCAGCTCCACGTTGGTGGCACTGTATACCTGGGGAGCAGGGAATAGAGGGAGCTGGGGGCTCAGAGCCTGCTCCCCACACAGCCTCACCAATGCAGAACCCAAGTCCCGCTGTCCCAGAGGCAGGTGGAGGAGGTGGCAGGGTCTGAACCCTGGGAAGTTACAGTGAGAAGGTGCAGGCCCAGGGTCAAGAGGAACACGCTCCTCACTTGATCTCAGTACCCTGGGCGGGGCCCGTGATATGGGTGAGCCCTCCGTACTCCGCAGGGGCTGGGCACTCAGGCCCACTGAGTCCCACAACTGCTCAGGGTTTCCAGAGCCCAAGGGCTACTCTGGGATGGATGTGGAGACCAGCCGAGTTCCTGGACCTCATCTACCCCCGGCCCCCACCGCCAGCCCCTCCTGCCTTGGCCTCGTAGCCGCTAACAGTTTCCATCTTCTCAGACCGCCAGCCCCAGATACCACATTTGTTCCTGAAACAGAACAAACAGGAGCTCGTGAGGACCTGCACTCTCACACCCTGCTCAAAGCCTTCCTTTCCAAACCCCCTCCGATGAGCCTGCCCTGGGTGCCCAACTCTGAGGGTCCTTTGTCACTGTGAAACATGAAGGAGCCTGAAGAGGGTGCCTGGACAGCTGGGGACACTTGAGCATGAACTTGGGACTAGAAGACACTGAAGAATTAGCATGAAACTTGTGAGGTATGACAGCGTTGGGGCTGGGTTTAGACATGTCCTTGTCTTTCAGAGTTGTGCAGAAGCATTTACTGTTAAAACATTAGGACGTCTGGGATGGGCTGTGACATACTCTAGGGAAGAAAAAGAAAAAGGTGAGGAAGGGTAGATTCAGTAAGATTGGTAAAATGTTGATATAGTGATGAGTAAGTGCCTTCTCTCTTCTCTCATATGTTTGAAATTTTTCATAAAAAAAAAAAAGTATGTCAGTTGGAGCCTCCAGTACCCTGATTTCAATAATGGATAGAACAATTAGAAGATCAACCAAGAAATGGAAGATAAGAGCAACACTGTAACTAGACTTTATAAACAGGTTAGAACACTCTACCCAGTCCCAACAACACAAACGCTTCTCCAGTGTACACGGAACACCCTTCAAGACAGACCATATACTAGACCATTAGGAAAACCTTGGCCGGGTGTGGTGGCTCACGCCTGTAATCCTAGCACTTTGGGAGGCCGAGGAGGGTGGATCACCCGAGGTCAGGAGTTCAAAACCAGCCTGGCCAACATGGTGAAACCCCCTCATCTTTAAAAAGAAAAGAAAACTTCAATGCGGCCAGGTGCAGTGGCTCACGCTTGTAATCCCAGCACTTTGGGAGGCCGAGGCAGGTGGATCACAGGGTTGGAAATCGAGACTATCTTGGCTCACACAGTGAAACCCCATCTCTACTAAAAATACAAAAATTCAGCCAGGTGTGGTGGTGCGCGCCTGTAGTCCCAGCTACTTGGGAGGCTGAGGCGGGAGAATCACGTGAACCAGGGAGGCGGAAGTTGCAGTGAGCCAAGATCGAGACACTGCACTCCAGCCTGGGTGACAGAGCCAAAGAATTAAAAAAAAAAGAGAAAGAGAAAAGGGAAGGGGGAGGGGGAGGGGGAAAGGAAAGGAAGAAAAAAAGAGAAACCCTCAATACAAGTGAAAGGATAGTAATACAGTGTATGTTTTCCAATTACAATGGAATGAAATTAGAAATCAGTGGCAGAAAAACAACTTGGGAAACTCACAAATATGTGGAAAGTAAGCAACATACTCCTAAATAGCGAATGTCTCAAATAATAAAAGAAAAATCAGAAAATATTCAGAGATAAACAGAAATGAAAACACAACATATCAAAACTTACGCAACACATGTAAAGGCCGGGCCCAGGGGCTCATGCCTGTAGTCCTAGCATTTGGGAGGCTGAGGCGGGTGGATCACGAGGTCAACAGATCAAGACCATCCTGGTCAACATGGTGAAACCCCGTCTCTACTAAAAATACAAAAAATTAGCTGGGCCTGGTGGCGCATGCCTGTAATCCCAGCTACTCAGGAGGCTGAGGCAGGAGAACTGCCTGAACCCAGGAGGCGGAGGTTGCGGTGAGCTGAGATTGCGCCATTGCACTCCAGCCTGGGTAACAAGAGCGAAACTCCGTCTCAAAAAAAAAAAAAAAAAAAAGCATTATAAAAGGATATGATGAATAGCTGTACACCAATAAATTTTATAATTTAGATGAAATGGACAAATTCCTAGTGAAGCACAAGCTATCAAAACTAACTTGAGAATAAATAGATAATCTGAATAGAAGAATAACAAGTCAAGAGATTGATTGAGAAATACAACAACAAAAACTACAAACACACATGCACACATACACACACAAAGCTCAGGCCCAGATGGCTTCACCACTGAATTCTACCAATCTTTTGAAGACTAATTAATACCAATTATTCACAAACTATTTGAAAAAATAAAGAGGTGACATTTCCCACTTTATGAGGCATCACTCAGATACCAAAACCAGACATATATCACAAAAAAACTACAGACCAATATCGCTTATGAATGTAGACACAAAATCATCAATAAAATATGACCCAACCAAATCTAGCATCATATGAAAAGAACTACACACCATCCACAAGTGGAACTTATGACAAGAATGCAAGGTTGGTTCAACACCCCAGTCAATCGATGTAATATATCAATAGATTTTTTTTTTAATCACATGATCATATCGATAAACACAGAAAAAGCATTTTGAAAAATCTAACACACTTTCATGACAAAAACACTCTACAAACTAGGAATGGAAGGGAACTTCCTCAACCTGATGAAGGATATCTACCCAAAACTCACAACTAATATCATACTTACTGGTAAGATTGAATGCTCTTCCCCTAAGATCAGGAACAATATGAGGATACTGCTCTAACCACTTTCTTTTTCTTTTTAGATGGGGTCTTGCTCTGTCACCCAGGCTGGAGTGCAGTAGCACAATCTGGGCTCACTGCCACCTCTGCCTCCTGGGTTCGAGCAATTCTTGTGCCTCAGCCTCTCAAGCAGCTGGGACTACAGGCACCACCACCAGGTCTCGCTAATTTTTTTTTTTTTTTAATTTTTAGTAGAGATGCTGTTTCACCATGTTTGCCAGACTGGTCTCAAACTCCTGACCTCAAGTGATCTGCCTGCCTCAGCCTCCCAAACTTTGGGATTACAGGTATCAGCCACTACTACCAGCCTGCTCTAACCACTTCTAATTAATATTCTACTTCAAGTTCTAGCCAAAAAAAAAAAAAAAAAAGTTCTAGCCAGAGCGATTAAGCAAGAAAAAGAAATAAAAGGCATCTAATTGGCATGATCTCAGCTCACTGCGATCTCCACCTCCTGGGTTCAAGCGATTCTCCTTCCTTAGCCTCATAAGTAGCTGGGATTACAGGTGTGTGCAACCACCCCCAGCTAATTTTTGTATTTTTAGTAGAGACAGGGTTTTGCCATGTTGGCCAGGCTTGTCTCAAACTCTTGACCACAGGTGATCCACTCTGCCTCCCAAAGTACTAGGATTACAGGGATGAGCCACTGTTCCTGGCCAGATAATATAATATGTCAAAAAAAAAAAAAAAAAAAAACTGAGGAAAGGAATCCACTAAAAATCTATTTGAACAAATGAGTTCAGCAGTGTTGCAGAATACATGCTCAATATACAGAAATCAATTGTATTTTTATACATTTGTAATACACAATTAAAAAATAAAATGAAAAAATACTTGATTCATAATTGTATAAAAAGAATAAAACACTTAGTGGCCAGGTGCAGTGGCTCATATCTGTAATCCCAGTACTTTGGGAGGCCAAGATGGGCAGATCACCTGAGGTCAAGAGTTCAAGACCAACCCGGTCCAACATTGTGAAATCCCGTTTCTACTAAAAAAAAAAAAATTAGCCGGGTGTGGTGGTGGGCACCGGTAATCCCATCTACTTGGGAAGCTGAGGCAGGAGAATCACTTGAACCCAGGGGGTGGAGGTTGCAGTGAGCCAAGATCATGCCACTGCACTCCAGCCTGGGCAACAGAGTGAGACTCCACCTCAGAAAAACAAAACAAAACAAAAAAGAATAAAACACTTAGGAATAAACGTAACAAAAGAAGTACAAAACTTACACCCTGAAACCTATAAAATAATGTTGAAAGAAATTAAAGCAGATCCAAATAAGTGGAAAAACATCCCATGTTCATGGATTAGAAGACTTAACATTGTTAACATGGCACTATCACCCAAACTGATTTATAGATTCAGTGCAAACCCTATCAGAAGCCCATCTGACTAGAAACTGACAAACTGTATGTAGAGTTCATATATTCTGCCTACCATGGGTTGTGAGAAAAAAGAAAATTCATATAAAATGCAAGGTTCCCAAAATAGTGAAATAACTCTGAAAAAGTAAACGAAGTAGGAAGACTTATACTTTCCAATTTCAAAACTTACTACAAAGCAACAGTAATTAAAACAGCATAGTATTAGGGGTCCAAAGTGGCTCCCGCCGGAGGTCATGGTGCTCGCGAAGGCAAGGTCATCAGTTCAAGGCTAACCTGAGCAACCTCATAAGCTCAAACTGATTGGCAAAAAAAAAACAACAGTATAGTATTGGCATAAAGACAGACACATAGACCAATGGAACTAAACTGGGAGTCTGAAAGTAACCCATTTATGTATGGTCAACTGATTTTCGACAAGGGTGACAAGACCTTTCAATGGGAAAAGCATAGTCTTTTCAACAAAGGGGGCTAGGACAACTGGATAGTCACATGCAAGAGAACCTTCCATCATATACAACCATTAACTTAAAATGGCTCAAAGATCTAAGTGTAACAGCTAAAACTATAAAACTCTTACAATTCCATAATAAAAAGACAACTCAATTTTTAAAATAGGTAAAGGGATAGGTGTGGTAGCTCATGCCTGTAATCCTAGCACTTTGGGAGGCCAAGGTAGGGAGATGGCTTGAGCCTATGAGTTCAAGACCAGACTTTTTTTTTCTTTTTCTCCACCGCCACCACCCAAGACCAGTCTTTAGACCCTGCCTCTACAAATAATTAAAGTAATTAAATAATATAATAAAATAATTACAAATAATTTAAAAATTAGTTGGGCATGGCGGCATGCATCTGTAGTCACGGCTACTTGGAGGAGTTGAGCCTGAAAGGTCAAGGTTGCAGTGAGCCATGATCATGTCACTGCACTATATCCTAGATGACAAGGCCAGACCCCGTCTCAAAATAATACATAAAATTAAATAAAAAATGGGCAAATGATCTGAATAGACATTTCTACAAAGAAGATACAAAACTGACCAAAGCACATGAAAAGATGCTGGCCGGGTGTGGTGGCTCACACCTGTAATCCCAGCACTTTGGGAGGCCAAGGCAGGTGGATCACAAGGTCAAGAGATCGAGACCATCCTGGTCAACATGGTGAAACCCCGTCTCTACTAAAAATACAAAAAATTAGCTGGGCCTGGTGGCGCGTGCCTGTAATCCCAGCTACTTGGGAGGCTGAGGCAGGAGAATCGCCTGAACCCAGGAGGCGGAGGTTGCGGTGAGCCGAGATCGCGCCATTGCACTCCAGCCTGGGTAACGAGCGAAACTCCATCTCAAAAAAAAAAAAAGAAAAGAAAAGATGAAAAGATGCTCAATTTCATTAGTCATCAGGGAAAGGGAAATCAAAATCACTTTTCACCCACTAGGCTGGCTAGATTCCAAAACAAATGAATGAATAGTAAGTGTTGATGAGGATGTGGAGAAACTGGAACTCTCGCACACTGCTGGTGGGAATGTAAACCAGTACACCTCCTCTGGAAAATAGCCGGGCAGTTCCTCAATTAAAAACTGAGTTATCGGTAACCTAGCAATTCCACTCTTAGACGTATACCCAAGAGAAATGAAAATACATGAAAGAGAAATTAAAACACATGTCGGTCAGGCACAGTGGCTCAAACCTGTAATCCAAGGACTTTGGGAGGCCAAGGCAGGTGGATCATGAGGTCAAGAGATCAAGACCATCCTGGCCAACATGCTGAAACCCCGTCTCTACTAAAAATACAAAAATTAGCTGGGTGTGGTGGCACGTGCCTGTAGTCCCAGCTACTTAGGAGGCTGAGGCAGGAAACCAGGAGGCGGAGGTTGCAGTGAGCCGAGATCACGCCATTGCACTCCAGCCTGGGCAACAAGAGCAAAACTCTGTTTCAAAAAACAAACAAAAAAAACCATATGTCTACACAAAATCCTGCATATGAATACTTATGGTGGCATCATTCATAATCGTCAAATAATGCAGATAACCCAAATGTCTACTGATGGGTTCATGAATAAACAAGGTGTGATATATTCACACAATGGCCACTGAAAGGAAGGAAGTAGTTACATGCCACAACTTGGATGAACCTTGAATACATTCTACTGAGTGAAAGAAGCCAGACACAAAAGGCAACATGTTATAAACTTCCATTCAGATGAGAGCTCAGAATAGGGAACTCTACAGAAACAAAAAGTAGATTAGTGGCCGCTTAGGACTGGGAGAGGGATGAGCAGTTTGGTGAAGAGTTAGCTCAAGGGTAGGGGTTTCCTCCTGAGGTGATAAAAATGTTCTAAAGTTGACTGTGGTGATGCACGAACCTGTGAATAAATCTACAGAAGTCATGAAACTACGTCTGTAAACGGGTGGTGTGTACGGCACAGTATATGGGATTGCATCTCCGGAAAGCTGGGCTCTGCTTTCGTTTTAAATGCTTCCACTGACTGTTAAGGCAACAGGGGCATGTGTTGTGAGAGAAACTCTGGCTGGAAGGGTCAGGTTCCCAGGCTACCCACAAAGGACTCTGCCCCCAACACAGCCGCACCAAAGACAAGCCAACATTGGTGCAAACAGCTGCCTGGAACCGCAGCCTAAATCGCTGTCTTTACGGGAACACACATGAACATCTTGACCTCACCTTTCCCCACAAAGGCGGCCACAGGAGCCCGACCACCCTGGCAGTCTGGGTGAGACCCGGGCTGCAACAACCCACCTGCCCAGCCCCCGGTGAGTGGCTCAGCCACCCAGAGGCCTCAACCAGGATCTTCAAGGATAGCCCTGCCCTCATTAGTGTTGACCCTTACTATCTGTCCCCATCCCACCCACTGTATGCCAGGCCCCAACTGACCTCTCGAAGGCCACATTCCGAGTGTCCAGGTGGGTGGAGACGATAGGAGAAGTGAGGCGGCTGGCCACGTGCTCCTCGCTCGGCCGCATGGCCGCCAGCAGTGCTTCAGGCTCCTGCAAAGTGAGCCCCAGCGTCTCTGCGTGCACCACCTGCCGGTCATGGTCCACTTCCATCACCAGGGCTCCTGCCTCTGCCAGCGGCGAGGGGGTGTACAGAGGGGGTGCCAATCAGTGTCGGGTGCCAGCAGCACAGAGAGGGCTATCATGTACCCTCAGCCGCCTGCTGCCAAGTGGGTCGGCCTTGGCCCCTGGATCCCCCTCCACCTCCAACCTCAGCTTCCACATCTGGAAAGTGGAACAAAAGGATAGCACTGTCCTCCCAAGCCTCAGGAGAAGCTGAGGGCCAAGGCACTGCAGTGAGTGCCTCCCGAGCTCACCCTGGCCCTTGAAGATGAAGCTCCTCCGGCCCCGCTGCCAGGTCATGTGCTCAAAGCCCAGGAGACTGGTGTCCACTCGCAGGCTCTCACCCCGCTTCCACACGCGGTACACGTCGCTCGGGCACATCTTGGACACAAGGGGCACTGCAGGGTGCATGGGGGTCACCAAGGATCTCCCAAAAGCCCCACCCCAATCCCTGGGAGCCGAGGTCCCCACTCACCCCAGCTGGTGAACTCCCACTTCATCTCCACATAGAAATCAGGGGCCTAAGAGAGACCAGAGCTGCTTGTCAGGGCCCTGCCTGGTACCGGGTCCAGCAGGCCCAGGAGCCCCTCATCCATGGCTAGCCCAGCGCTTCATCAAGTGTATATATATATATTTTTAAGACAGAGTTTTCTCTCTTGTTGCCCAGGCTGGACTACAGTGGCTCGATCTTGGCTCACTGCAACCTTGGCATCCCAGGTTCAAGCAATTCTCCTGCCTCAGCCTCCCAAGTAGCTGGGATTACAGGCGCATGCCATCATGCCTGGCTAATTTTGTATTTTTAGTAGAGACAGGGTTTCTCCATGTCGGTCAGGCTGGTCTCGAACTCCTGACCTCAGGTGATCCGCCACACCTCAGCCTCTGAAAGTGCTGGGATTACAGGTATTAGCCACCCTGCCCGGCTTTTTCCTTTTTTTGAGACTTGCTCTATCACCCAGGCTGGAGTGTAGTGGGGCAATCACGGCACACTGCAACATCTGCCTCCCTGGGCTCAGGTGAGTCTCCCACCTCAGCCTCCCAAGTAGCTGGGACCACAGGTGTGTGCCACCACTCCCAGATTATTTTTTTATTTTTTTGTAGAGACAGGAGTTTCACCATGTTGCCCAGGCTGATCTCGAACTCATGGGCTCAAAGTGATCCACCCGCTTCAGCCTCCCAAAGTGCTGGGATTACAGCAGGAGCCACAACACCTTGCCCTTCATCAAGTCTTGAGGCACCGCCATGGTCCAGCTACACCCAACCTCTGCCCGGGAGAGGCCTGACAATGGTCCTCGGGCAATGAGGCTGTAAGCACCTGGAGGTGGAGGGCCAACCTCAGCCCGACCACCAGCCTGTGCAGGGCCCTGGGACAGCTTTTGCTTCCACTGGGTCTCAGAGTCCTCCTCTGTAAACGGGTTAGAGTGGCCCCCTCCGAGCCTTCCCCTGGAGTAGGGGGCATGAGGTAGTATACTCTGCCAGCCAGGCCCCTCTGTGTGCTTCCAGAAGGGTGCATGGTAGCAGGTATTCCACAGGCTCAGGCCATTATCTACCGAGTCAACCTGAAGTCCCTGCTCCAGGTAATCTGCATTCTTCAGGAGGCTCATAGCTGGCAAGACTTCTCTTCCAAAAGACCCAGTCTCTCCCACGTGAGCCTGGGTGTCTCTTTCTATATGACCCTGGGCTGGGGTCAAGATAGACAGATCTCCTCGCTGTTGGTGGGAAGCACACCGCACAAACTGTGTGCCCTTCCAAGGCCAGACCTGGCACGGTAACCAGGGTGGTGCCCTGCCATGGTACCCACCTCCATACCTGTGCCCTGCTGTACCTGGCGAAGTTTGTTGAGCAGTTCTGGAATGCCTGCCAGCCTCTGCGTGGCCCTCTGGTAGTCCCGATACTGGAGCACCAGCTGCACCATCTCGGGGTCTCCAGTGCTGACTGCCTCCTGCAGGACTGCAGGCACCAGGCTGCTGAGGGGAGCCCCCTGGATGACCCCAGGCCTGGTTGCTCACTGCCCCCCACCTGCCAGTCTCAGGGGAGCTCCTTGTCCTCGGCAGTACCTGCCCAGCCCTGGCGGTTCTCTTTGCCCACGTTAGCATTGTGCCGAAGGAGCACTCGCACGGACTCCAGGTTTCCCAGAGACACGGCCAGCTCCAAGGGGGTCCGCCCGCGGGGATCCTCCTGTTCAATGTCGTGCTGGGGGAGATGGGACACTCACAAAGGGCAGGAGAGAAGAGGGCAAGCAGGGCTGGGAATCGCTGTGGGAAACAAGGACGGTGGACTGGCCAGGGAGATGGCAGAGGGTGGCCTGAATGTCCTGGCAGGGGAGAGGAGAGGGCAGGAAGGAGGGCAGGGGCAGAGCCCAGGGCCTGGCAGTGGGGCCTGGTCGGGCAGAGGTGCAGGATGTCAGGAGTTTGGTGGAGCCTGGTGACCAGGACCAGAGTTCTTGTCCTCAGCCTGGCTCAGTGGGGATGCAGAAGCGAGTGCAGGCGAGCAGGGTGAGCCTCAGCGCGGTGGAGATGAGGCCAGAGGCTCCGGGTTAGGGACAGGTGACCTGGGCTTCGGATCGTGCAAGGGAGGGAGGCCCAGGATGTGGCTGTGGAGCTGAGCAGGGGCGGGCGGCCTCCAGGACGGAGACCACAGCCTTGGGTGGGGAGCCTGGGGGACGGGCCGGGTGCCCCGGTGGGGCCTCACCTGGCGGCTGTGCAATGCGGCCTCTAGTTCCCGGTGCCGGTTCGCCCAGACGAGCCGGTGCAGCGGGAAGGTGGGGCCCGGGCCGGCCATGCTGGGCTTCAGCGCCTCATTCCGGCCCCGCCTCGGCTTCGGGCCTGGCGCGGCCCCCTCGCCACCCCTCGGGGCCGCGCCCCAGCTGCGACCCCCGCGGCCCCCGCAGCAGTAGCGGCGGCGGCGGCGGCGGCGGCTGCAGCGCGGGCGGCGGGGCGGGGCGGGGCTTCGCGCGCTCCCCCGCCCCCCGCAACCATGGCAACCGCGGCCAGGCCCGCGCGCGCCGGGGGCAACCGCGCGCGCCCGAGGCAACCGCGCGCGCCCGAGGAGATGCTCGGCCCTGGGTCTGCTCCCCGGCCTCAGTCGGGCCCGGGTCCGCTGGGGCGGCCTGGAGGGCGGGACCCGGGTACAGCTCTGCCCGCAGCCCGCAGGAGGCGCCCTGAGCCCTGCTCAGACCTCGGCGGGTCCCGAGGGGGAAGGCGGGTCCCGGGAGGGGCGGGGACTGGGCCTCCGGTCGTGCGCGCGCGTGCGCCGCGGGCCGCCGTCCTGCTGCCGCCAAGGTATCTGCGTTTCACCCGCGGACCTTCGCGCTCCCCCGGTCTTCCTACCCCAGGTCTCGCGGGCACCGACTCTGCCAGAGGGTGCGGGTGAAGTCGGGGGACCCGACTCCCCTCGTATCACTGAGCACAGCCACTAGCCGACGCCACTAAGTGCTCGTCGGCTGAGCGGGAAGCACCTTTCCCTGGGACCCGGCCGGTGTCTGCAGGCCCAGCGATGCCGGGGGCGGCCCCCGGAGCCCTTATTCAGGGATAGGAGTTCGGGGAGAGGGGTCGCAGGTCCGGGCGGCGGAAGAGCCGTCCTGGCGGAGGACCGCCCGCGGTGAACGGCTTCCTTCGCCGGCCTTACGCAGGAGTCCCTTTTGCAGAGGCTGCTCTCGGCTGCTAGCATCGGGAGAGGAAGGCGAGTTTCGAAATCGGGGCTGGCCCTTCCACCCGCAGCGGAACTAGGGTGCAGGCCTCCGTCAGCTCAGTTCCGGCCCTTGGTTACTGGAGGCCCAGCCTGGGGTCTCAGGCTCTGGTTTCAATGTGGGGGCTAAGGCTGACCCTCTGCTCTGCGTTTCCCTGGTGGAACATGGCTGGATAGCTTGATTGAGGGCCAGCTAGCTTGAGGGTCACCTCCTGCTCTAGGGCGTCCTCATTTCTGAGACTCTGGGCTGGAAGTCCTGATTGCCACTTTTACCCCGCCTTCTTGTAGTCATGTGGTGCCTTTGCCATCTGGGATCACTTTGTCACCCCATGCTATGGTGTCATCCCTGAGGTCCTGGGGTTGACAGCAGCCTGAAGGCTTCTGAATGCCCAGAGCTGTCAGATCAGCTCACCTGCTCACCACGGCCACAGGCCTCCCTGGCCACCACCTTTCTCAAAGAGGCTGTCCCTTCCCTGAGCCCTCTCCAAACCCAGTCTGACAGGACTTTCTTGCTCCTAGCCTCTCCTGATTTCTGCCATCTTGAACACAGCTTCCCATTGGCCCTTAATTCTGTCAGTGCCTTCTCAACCCTCTTCCCACGGCCTCTTCTCTCTCCCTGACCCCCATGACCCTGGCAGAGAGCCTGTCCATTCCCATTGTCACCCTGATGCCACCTCCAGGTCTGCATTTCAGCTTACTCCAGGACATGTCTGTGCCATGCTATCCCATCACCGTGTCTGAAGCCAACCCAATCACACCTACCCCTTTCCCCAAACTCCCACCTCGCTCAGCCCCTGTTCCTGTTAGACCGCGTTCTTCCCATCTGACCTCTTTTCATCTCTTCCTCTCCCACCGCTGCGGTCTGTGTCCCTGCCTCCTGTTCTTTGCCTCCCTCCCCACATCCTGCACTCAGTAACCAGGCAATCACTTTAGAGCGAGCTCTCACCACCCTCAGCCCTGTTTGGTGCCTTCAAGGGCTCCCCAAGCAGGCAGGTCTGGACTCCATGTTGTTCGTACCTTCATTCTGCAGTCCCTGAGCACACACCTGGCTCTGGGCTAGGTTAAGCTGGCATTCAATGATCCTTCCCATGGTCCTCTGGCCAGCCTGAGCCACTCATGAGTGCCTGGCCCCTCCCTGCCTCAGAAATGTCCTCCCTCCTTCCCACCCCATTGCTGGAGGCTCAGCTCAAAGGCCATTGCCCCTGACTCTATGGTAATCAACCCAGAGTACCCTGCCCAGCTCCCTGCTTCCCTTCTCTGCCTGGCATGCTGTGTTTTGGCCACGGGCCCCAGTCATGCCCAGCAGAGCCCTGTGGGGTGGGCAGCAACACGTATCTATCTGTTTGGTCACCCCAGGGGCCTGTAGGCAGGGATGTGGGGAAAGGGAAGTTGACCTGCAGCCTCTCAGTAGAGGAGAGGCCTGGTGCTGGGTTCCCCTCAGGCCTCAGGGACCCCTACTAGGGCTGCACAGGGAGGCCAGAGAGGCCAAAGCCAGAGCTGGCCAAGGGCCCAGAGGCTGCATGTGACGTGGAGGGCAGAGGCACCTCGTCTCTGGGGAGGGCCTCAGCTTGGTACCTGCCGGGCAGGGGTGCTATATGAGCCTGAGATGGTCCCAGTCAGCCCAGACACTGCCCCAGGCATAACAGTGCTGGCACCTCCTCCTCCTTACCTCGGAAGTGGCAGAAGCTGCCCTCTCTTCCCTGGAAAAGGTGAGGGATGGGTGCTGGACAATCAGTAAGCAGGAAGACTGTCAGCTGGGAGGGAGGGACGCAGCGGGGAATCCACTGCCTCACCCAACCTGGAAGACGGCCTGGGACTGAGCAGGCTGCTCTGGAAGCCATGGCAGTGGAGGGGACCTGGTACCACCGAGACCCTCCCCCACGGGCCCCTGCCCAGCAGAAGCTGAAAAGCGGTCACTAGGTACAAAAAGAGTCTGAGACAGCCAAGTCAGGCACCATTTTTTATAAAAACGCATAGTCTCATTTTTCACTCTTTAAAATCACATTCAAAAATCGGCAAAGAAATGCCCCAGGGAATGAGTAGACGGGAGGAGAGGGTGCGCCAACCCAGCCCCAAGGGGGAGAAGGCGCGACACCACACAGGCAGTGCGACTGGCACGAGGGGGCATGCGGTGGGTGAGGCGGCACCCCGAGGTGGCGGCATTGACAGGACATGGGCTGTGGGGCTGGCCAGCCGGGTGAGGGCACACTGATGGGCTGGGGAGGAGGGTACACTGACAGGCCCCAGCTGGCCTCCTTGCTGTGCTGCCTGCCCACCTGGCTGGCACTGTGTGGGCAGATGGGGTGGCATCTGGCCCAGCATCAGGGAGACCTCAGGCCAGGCGAGGCCATTATGGCCCAATCCGCAGTTGCCTTGCTGTGGTCCCTGAGCCCAGGCGCTGAGGGTGGGGGCAAGAGGGGACCTCAGGGAGGGTAGCAGCACCTGCCGCCAGTGCCACCCTCTTGGCCGAGCCCCACAGTGTCCGGGAAGTGGGAGTGGAGGCAGCCAGTGACACAGAGACTTTTCCTGAATAAGGGCACAGGAGCCCCAGTCACTGTGGAGGACTTGGGGGCCAGAGAGACAATGGGCCCCTCCTCTCACTAACGCCATGGGACAGGATAGTGCAGGGCCTGCCCCTCTGCAGCAGGAAAATTCAAGTCGGATCCCTGTGCTGCACTGGACCCTGATGAGGGAGGCTGGACCACCCAGCAATGCCTGTTGGCACAGAGCACAGCCCACGGAGCCCAGGGTGGCACAACTTGGCGTGGCATCATCCCTCAGGGAAGGGGTGGGAGGGCTGCGCTCTTCCCCCACAGGAAGACACTGGGAGCGGGCAGCCCCTGGGGTCAGGATGGAGGGTGCCAGGCAGCGGCTGGGTTGGTGCAGCAGGAGCCGAGGCAAGCGGGCCCCTCCCGGGAGGCTGGGCCAGGCTGGGGCCACAGGAAATCACAATAATTATAAAATAAAACCTTTTCCGCTTGGCGGGAAAACAAATAATAAAAATTCAACAAAATAAATTAGAGGTTTATAAAAGGCAGGCAGGCGGGTCAGAGGCCGTTGGCACTGCCACGCTGGACCAGCGGCACCTTGCTCAGCTCCACCACGGGCGAGCGCGGCTTGTTCTTCATCTTGGGCACCCGCTGTACCAGCTGCTGGGCCTCGCGGTAGGCGTCGCGCAGCTCCTTCTTCCACTGCACCAGCTCAGGGTCGCTCTGCACACACCAAGCCCAGCTGTCAGCTGGGGATCTCCCGAGCCTGCCCAGCCTGGCCCGGCCCCTCGGCCACCCCACCCCTGTCCCAGACCCCACTCACATCGCACTGCAACACGAACTGCTTCCCACCGCGGATCTTGAGGAGCAGGCACTTGCGCTCCTTGATCTGCGTCTCCTCCACCGACTGGATCTCCTCCATGGTCAGCAGGCTCTGCTGCAGGGCCAGGGATGGTGGTGCGGGTAAGGGCCGGCCCACCAGCCACCCGGAAGCCCGGCTCCCGACCCCGCACGGGCTCCTTACCGGGGCCTCGCCCTCACCCCGCCACTCAAGGCGGTTGGGGAACAGGTAGAAGTATCGCCGCTGCCACTGGGTCAGGAAGGGATTGCCCATCTTGGACATGTAGCCATGCATGATGCAGTCCTTGCCCAGGGCGTAGTCTGAGGTGAGAGACAGAGGAGGCTCAGCCGGCCCAGCCTAGGTTGCTTTTTGTTGTTTTGAGACAGGGTCTCCACTCTGTCGCCCAGGCAGCGGCGCAATCTTGGCTCACTGCAACCTCCACCTCCCGGGTTCAAGCGATCCTCCCGCCTCAGCCTCCCGGGTAGCTGGGAGTACAGGCGCGTGCCACCGTGCCCGGGTAATTTTTTGGTAGACACAGGGTTTCATCATGTTGGCCAGGCTGGTCTCGAACTCCTGACCTCAAGTGATCTACGGTCCTCAGCCTCCCGAAGTGCTGGGATTATAGGCGTGAACCATCATGCCTGGCTCTGGCCTGGGTTTCCATCCCAAAGTGGCCACTTTCTGGCTGTGATCCAGGGTGAGTTCCTTAAACCCAAGCCAACTGCTCACTCCTAAGCAGGTGGGGGCCTGGTGCCACAGCAGCGGGTGATCCTCACCTTCCTCGTGGCCCAGCTGCTTGTTCTTGGCTTTCTTGCGGGCCTCCAGCCGGTCTGTCTCAGCATTGATGGTGTCAAAGACGGTCTCTGCCACCTCTTGCTGCCACCGCTCCGAGATGGTGAGGGGGAAGTTGCGGTAGAGCTCCTGGTCACTGTCCAGTAACTACCAGGTGGACAGGACAGAGGCACGTGGATAGACAGATGCCGGAATACCCTCAGTCACAGGCTGCCCAGACCCAAGGCCCTGGGTAGGGATGATCAGGGCAAGTGCTACCCCCAGGGAAGTTGGCTGTGGAGGAGCTGAGGCTCACGAGCTGGCAGGCCTGGCACAGGGAATCACAGGTGGCAAGAAGGACAGGGATCCACCCCCAGGCCACGATCAGAGCCCAGGTGCAAGAGGCCAGGCAAGGCCCAGTACCTTGATTCCTTTTGTGTCCTCCTCATCGAAGGAGCCAATGTCGAAGGCATCGGCTGCATTCACCTCCCCTCGTGGGGGGATCAGCGGGGGAGGGTACTGCAGCAGAACAGGGGTCACGGGCATTAGTTTAGGGGTGGGGGTGCGGAGCCCCCAAGCCCCTGCTACAGACTGTTACCTTCTGCAAGAAGACCATCTGCCAGTCCAGGGAGCGGAAGAAGGGGCTCTCCTTCACCTCCTGAGCCCTGTGGGGAGGGGCCGGTCATCCGGGCTCAGCACCTCCCCCCAGCCCTGGGCTTCACTCCTGGTTGAGCCACTTTCTGGCTGTGTGAAGTTGGGTAAGTTCCTTAAGCCTGAGCTGCTTCCTCATCTCTCAAATGGGAGAACAGCAGTTCCTACGTCACAGGCTTCTGAGTTTAAGCACTGGTACATTTTACAACCCTGTGCCTAATGCTTAATAAATGTTCACAATAAACACAAAAAGCTGCCATCATCGTCGTCTGTGACAAGAGTCCCTCTGGAAGCCAGTTACCAGCAGCTGCAACCTCCAGGGCAGCCCCTGCACCCTGAGAACATTGGACAGAGCTGGCCATGCCCCAACTTGTGAGCTCCTCCAAGGAGGCTGGGACCTTGGACGGGGCTCCAGGTGACTGGACATAGCCCTTATCCTCAGGGGGTCACAGCCAGCAGCAT